TACAAATTTGCAGCAAAATTTGTCGGATACAGATTATGGATACGGATAAGATGGAAGAATTATTATAATATGTGAATGTGAGTATGGCATGAATTATCACATAAGTTAAATTGAAATTTTGAAAAGAGAAAGCAAATTTATTGGTCAATATTTCAACAAAAGCATGTGTTTCAATTTTAGAATGAAATTGGATTAAACTAGTGCAGTTGGCTCATTCGAAACATCCAACATTTTATGGAATTAAATAATGATTAGCTTGAAAATGAAAAAGAGAGAGAAAGAACAAGTGGGAAAGGAATTATTATCAATTGATATAAAATGATTTGATAAAGAAGAAAGAAAGCAGGTAAAATGATTAACACCTATTGTGCTTTGCATAAACTTTGATTTAAAAAAAAAAAAAACTCAAACATTAATCATTTCAATTAATAACTTATCAACAACAACATGTATTTTGATAACTGTAAAAGAGAGTGATAGGATGAGAATTCCGAATTCAAACATTCAGAATATTTGATGCACCGTAAAAAAGTGACGTAAAAAGCGTGTTCTCACACGTGGAATCAATTATTCTACTACATTTTGCAAAATCATAATTATTCTTTCGATATATGTTATCGTCTTTTATATGCCCTGATTATCAGTGAAGAAAATAAATTCTAACATGAAATCCGGAATTCGAATCTGAGGATGAGAGATGAAATAAAATTTATTTTCAATCCATTGATCGAAGAGAAAAAAGAAAGGATAAAGAGGAGTATTGTTTCATTTAATTTATTATGATAGAGTAATTTTGAAAGTGTTAGAGAGAGATGATAGCTTTTTGCAAAATAATTTATGAAAAATGAACAAAGATGACTGATAATTAAGTGTGTATTTAATTTGTCTGCTTATTAAATTCTTAATTTCAAATTTACTAAGCTATCCCTTACTTTCTCTAATATATGATTTGATTAGTAATCATAAGAAGCAAGAAGAATGTGAGTTTTTTAGGAAATTAATTAAATGAACAGAAAGTATTAAAATGACAGGGAGATGGGGAGAAAGAGAGATTTATAAGATATGAATTATTTAAATAAATAGTAATGAAAGATGAAAAATCAGGTTATTTGTAAAATAGAATGATAAAATATTAAAAGGGGTAAATGAATAACTATGAGAAATATTTGGAATATATAAAGATGGAGGGAGAGAGGGAGAGAGAGAGGAAGAAAATGATGTTTGGATGGAAGAATGATTGTGATCAATGTGATAATGATA